TTTAAAAATTAATCGCGATTAAATCTATAAAATTATATTCATTCGTTATAAACTATTTAAAGGAAAATATTTATATTTAATTGCTTATTTAAAGCATTAAATCGTATTATAATATGATTGTACAATATTCAGAGATTACGTAATATAATTAGACGTATGTACATTATTGTTTGTACTTAGTGTATGATGGAAATTGCTTTATCGACGCGAAACTATAAATACAAAAGAAGAATCAATAGATTGTCACTGAAAAGCCTTCAATATCCATTATACTGAGCTACTGTGCCGTAAAATAATACACGAAAAATGAAATATCTAAAATTCTGCTGGGAAAATAATAAGAAGAAAACAAGAAAGAAGAGAAAACATAAAGAAAGCATAAAATGAGAGAAAAAGAATGATAGGTAGTGATCAGGAACAAAATAGTTAGAGTGGGAAAGAATGAGAAGGATGAAACGATGGCAGTGAGCGAGGAGTGAGAAGCACAGAAGAAAGAACAGCGAATTATAGTACACAAATTATATATAAAAAATATTATAAATGTTAAAATTGAAATGGACAATTGTTTCGCTGATTAAGTGAATAATAAAATTTTGTTTATGTGTTACAAAGTTTCAGTGAATCAATTGTTGATGATTGTACACATACATAGAAAACCACATGTCATTAATGCTTGCTTGCATCGATTTCTTACAGAATATCTTTTAAAATGACTAACGTATTATAAAATGGCTATCAATTATATAATGCATATCTTTTTTTATTAATTCTGATGAAGTTTCAATATTCTATAATATTTCTTTATTTACATTAAAATCGTGAATTTTATGTAATTTAAGCTTGCATCGATTTTTATATTCCAATTACTTTTATAAATCATCTATATCTTATATATTCTTAGTATTCTTCGCATTATTTAACATTTACTTTAAAATCTAAGTTGACCTTAATTTAAAATAACGAAATTGTAGCGCGATTAACCATAAAACTGAAATCTTTTCATTCAAAGGTCCATCGATTTTATCTCATCTTTTTAGTTAAAATCACAAATGTGTATAACAAAAATTATATAATTATGTTTAAAATTCAGTGTTTAATTAATATGATTGTTAATTTTTAGTGAAGTAATTTATGAAGGAGGAAATTAGCTCAATTATATTATCTGACGTTACCTTATTCTCACTTTAATTAATGGTGATAATAAAGTGCTTTTGTGATAAACTAAATAGACTATTATAAAAATAATTAATAGAATGTCTTATGAATAATAACTTACCCTCTAGGATACCTCTTATTGATTAGCAAAGCTTTAATTTTCTGTTTCACCATATAAATTGATGTATAATTTTGAAAATAATATAATATGTATATTTGTATTTTCATACAATTTCAAGGAATTGATATTTACTTAAATAACCGATCCACTGATTAAACACCTTTTCATAATCTCATGTTTTACTATGTACAAAGCTTAGAGGAAAGATTATCAGAAGAATTACACAATAGTTTGATAATAGTTAGCAAGCCATCAATTTTCGGTAATGAGATTAATTGTACGACTTTATAGTTGTAACCTACAATAATAAACTTCTTCAAGTTATTATCGATATCGGTATGATTGATTTTCCAAGCAAAGTATTTTCAAATTCACATAAAGTATTAAGCAAATTCACATTTTTACATACACCCTAATAAGAAGATCCGTAATTGATTTTGCAAATAGACTCGCGCAAATCGACATACCGCCATGACATCTCACCCATGTATATCCGCGGCATCATTGCGTTAATTCGCTCTCGGCGGCTCGAGCCTCATCAACCATCGTCCTTTTAAATTCCAAAGGACAATCAGGCGCGAAGAACAAAGCGAGGTCAAACAGAGAGACTCCAGGGCCAATTAGTTGATTGAGTTGACCGATGGATATGAGATCACAGAGGCGACGCCGGAGAATCCTGATTGAGAGGAGTCGCCAAAGTTCGCGTAGTCGAGCCGCAAAGAGAAGTGATCCGAACCTGGAGCGGCTCTGATTCACGATGACTCACGGTGATTCACGGCGGTGGCGGCAATCAGTCATTAGCGACACTCTGAATTAAGCTCGACTTTAATATTGGCGGACGAATCGCGGTACCACGGCGATTTACCTACAACAAGAGCTTTCACCTACTAAGCAACTCCTGTTACGATTCTGCCTCTGACACATTACCTGCGAGATAATCTCTAGCAAATGATGCCTTATGCGCTACTTTTAACACTGCCAGTAATTGCTAATACAATTTCGTAGAAGACTAAATGCCAATAAAAATATCTATCTCGCTTATTGGTCGCCTTTGATAAATTTGACTTATAGAAAGGTACTTACCGAGCGACTATTTCACGTAGATGAGCTTTTTCTCGTGTCCAACAGTCAGATTTCTTATACAGATGATAATATTTTTCATATTCAGAAAAATATGAGATTATGCTTAAAAGAGCTTTCGTGCATCGATAAAAATCTCGCGTATTTTATGAGATCATAAGCTATACAATATATTATATCTTATATGAAGATTTAGTATTAACGCGTCACTTGGATATCATAGGATTTCAATAAATTATTTCACATATTTCTTCTACGTTATAAGTATGGCTTTATAAATCCTCTGCTAAACATAATTGTTAACATCTGTAAATTTCCATTGTTTTGAGCAAATTTAATAATATTCATAATCCATAATTTTGTATTCAAATATAAAATTTTTAATTTATCAAAACACAATAACGTACATGATAAAAACTATCTAATAATATCATTATAATATTCTGATAATAACAAAAAATATAATATATTAGTTTACAAACAACTAATGGTCTTAATAACTTGATACTTAACATATATTCATAATATTTACGTTTAATTTTACTTAATATAATAAAACAGTCAAATATTCGAAATATACAAGCATTAAGACTAACAAATATTTAAAAATATATTTTAAAAAATTGAGCAACGTTTATTCGTAAATTAAGATTATAACAAAATATTTGTTTAATTTCACATGTAATTTCACTCTTCATTTCACAAATCGATATAATACTCTCTGTAATCCGTTTATTTCAAATATATAATTTATAAAGGAAATTTGAAAATACGATACGTTTGTGTAATATATATCGCTTAATTAACGAGTGTTTATCAATTTAATAAATATCATTTGTGCAGTGTATTATTAACTTGTAAGCGTATGAATCATAGTATCGATGTCGTATTTTACTATTTACTTGACACTAAAATTATCTTCAATAATATATAAGCTAAGGGTAATAGAGCACAGCTAAATTATATGTCTTATTAAAACACAAAGATTGAAGACAATCGAGGAAAATGCATTTATGACAGTAGCGGAACCTCCCCGTTTTGCTATCGAAATTGTGCCATGGGATCAAGCAATAATAATTGCATAAATATTTTCTAAATTAACTGCAAAGGCATAATATGTTAAATTTAATCGGAGTCACTGGCCGAACCACGATCATGCCTTTACGCCAGATAAAAAGATAAGCAAACGTCCGCGATAAATATTATCATAATCTGCTTGAAGATAACTAAAATTTTAACAGATGCTTTTCCGCATCTCACCCGTTATTTATGCGGCCCGGTTCCTCGGCTCACTTCCGATATAATTCCACAATACTCATCCCATCATGGAATTTATTCGTACCATGACAAATGCCCCGGCGATAAATAATCTCAGAGCTTGGCCGTGAATTTACACAAGCGACGACAAATCTCCGGTCGCGCGTGCCTACGAGCTTTTAAATAATTCGATGGAATGAGAGAGAGAGAGAGAGAGAGAGAGAGAGAGACGAGTGCCTCAAGGCCTGGAAGCAACGAGAAATGGACGCTACCCCGACGCCGACGCTAAAGGCTGACGTGACGAATTGTCAAGCACTCGTGCGGGTGTTAAGAGGAGTGTTCTGTCCGTTGTATTACAAGCTTTAAAGGACTCGTCGACTCGTCGAGATTGAGAACTTGACGGTCGGTTTGAGCTAAGGTTTCCGAAAGAGCTGGGCGACCTTTGACGTTCAACGAAGTCGATGATAGGAACATTATTTGATTCCCCGTTTACCGATACTTTTCTGTGTTTCCAAACGAACGAGGCTATTCGGTTATCAGTTATCGATGAACTAGTAATAGCAATTTTCGAATCACCGATTAGAAATGAAAACGATGAAAGGTGAACGTCAGCAACTATTCCAAATTATTTTCTTTCGTATAAACAGTGACTTGAAGATTCATATTATTTCCAACATTGTTATTATTGAAATTGCTTATATTAGATTTTAAATAATCGATAGATTCGAGTGTTTTTTTTTTTTTTGATAATTATATCTTACAAAGTAAATGGAAGAATAAAGAAAATTGGCATTTCAACAGCAACGGATAATAGGAAGAAAATTACTAATAGAAACTTAATAAATCATGAATTTTCATATTTAATATAAATGTAAGCATACATTTGCAAAGCCAATAACATTATTGTTACGAGGAAAATCGACAATCAAGATTTAATTTCAGATCATTATAATAACTATTAAAGGTGTTTTCTACAGGAATCGAAGCAAAATATTTATCGAGACAATGAATTATCTCGTGAATATTTATCTATATATAATCTGAGGAATTATGACATTATACTGATTTTAATGGCAATTTATACTCATCATTACGAATCTCTTTTAATTGTTAGAAATTTATGCTGTTATCTCAAAGCAAATGTAATGTTAATGTAAAAAAAGTCCTATTGGCTTGAAACGAAATCAAATTTTTCGTCTCTAGAAGTACAAGTGTAGACTTCCGGCAGAAAAATGAAGGAATAATTTAAATTTATACATAACCACAGAGTCAGAATTCTAGTTAAATAAATTGTATAGATGAAGGAAGTGAGTGGGGGTAGTTCGAGACACGCACACGTAAACGCCGAAGGAAAATCACCGATTTAAATTTTCGCTAGCCAGTTTGAGTGTAATTATCATCTTGTTAATATAACAGTCGATCGGAATTCCTAATGTGTGCAAGTCACCGAATATAATTTTTTCAACGTAATAGCAAATACTTTTACGCAAAATCTACAATTAGATGATTCTTCATCTCGCTCCGTGTACTTGCATGAAAATTGTAAGTAATATTTACTAAGAATATTTTTAAAATTTATTCTACGCCAATGCATAAAATTTAGGCGTTTATTATTATAATTAAAAAAAAAAAAAGTATATGTTTGTGATGGGCAAAGGTACGATGGCTTTCAAATCACAAATTCTTTGCAATGAATACAGAGTATTTATACGTGAATTAATCATTATTTTATTTGTTCTATTTATATACGTGATTACTTGCGTTTATTATATCTATGCACGTGATTATTTCCATTAATTTTATCATACAATAAGCAATATGTGCATAAAATCTTATAAAATGAAGTATAGTTGATTTCACAAGCTTGTTATTGAGCAGCTTTTATTTACATTTTAATAATTTGTTTACAATATGTTATAAAGTGTACGGTTGTGCTGAAGTAGCACTTGTTAATCAAAATATTTGATTATAAGTATACAATGATGACGCAATAACAAGTATAAAGTAACCGAGGCTAAATTTCCCTAATTCTATTGCCTTATCTATTCTTCAATTGTTAATAGCAATAAAAATCAATTGCTTATTAAAAAATCAAATTGATATTCAAACTTGTTCCAGAAACTTTCTGCTAGTGCGCATTCCCGCATAACTATTTATAAAAAAAAATTGCAGTGGACGTGCAATAACCTGATTTTGAAATGTTTATTCAGTTGTCGAAACATTCTTGTTTCAGTTGCGCTGCGCGAAATCGCGACGTCACCTCAAGGCAACGATAGACGCGTGAGAGCCAAAAGGAACTTCTCGTCCTTCTACGAAGGCGCGGCCCTTACGTCAGTTATATCGTCATTCCGCTGACGTTCAAAAAAGCCCGCGAGCGACAGCTTATATTCGTTCGTACTTGAGTACTTAGTACTCGACAACATAGCGCGTGCATATGTACGCGAACTTAACACACATATGCTTTGAAGCGCGTACGAGGCTGCCATTTTGCTTTTGTTAACTTGTCGGAACGGAATCTGATGGTATAATAACGAATAACATTGGTAGTTTATACACTTAAAGATTTATTAGCTATTTTTAATACTTTTTTTCCACATCTTCTACTTTTTTCTAAAAATTATACTATAATTTTTCTCAACGTCACTAAGCACTTGTTTACTCAATGTTCCGGTAATTATTAGAATTTAACGATACTTCTATTTTATTTTAACCACATGTGGAAATTTACCTATGCTTTATTTTAAATTAACCATCAACGCGGCTAAAAAATAAAGATCGTAACTATCATTTGAATTGATCCAAGTATTTAATTAATATTTTATACGTTTTCATTCTTTATAGTTTCGTACTATCGGTCGTTAAATTCTATAGCAATTATTAACTAAAGTTTATTTACCAAATTATTTACTAAATTATTACTAAATAAGATAATGTGATTGGCCGAATGTATGATACAACAATAAATTTCATTATTTAGCTGTTTGTACGAAATAGTAATTTACGCAAACAACATTACAGATATTCAAAATTCCATGAAAATCTTTCTTAAATTTATCCAATTTTAATGTCAAATCGTCGTGCGTTCATCGTCGCTTTATATTATCGTTTCGACTTCATAAAAGCTTGAAATGAAACATATCCGAAAGTGCTACCGTCACATTCCTATGGAACATTAACTCAAAGTATACACGCATCTATAACACATGTATGACATGTATAACATTTATAGGAGTTCGTACAGGCGGCGACCGCACCTTGTTTGTATTAAGAGACCAGTGGTACCATCTCTCGGGGAAACGCCGTACTTCCTTCTTGATAGCATAGTGCACTTTACTTACTAACCATAACTTATTAACCGTACTCCGTATTTTACATTGCAACATCATAAATATTTATAAATCCATTTTATATGTATGGCCTTAGTTTATAGTTTATATTATTATATACACGTGATTTTCTTTGCTTCAAAAGATCATTCACAATACATGACGATTCTCCTTATTTGAGGATAGAATAAATACATAAGCAGAACGGAAGGACCAGCAGCTAAGATGATCCGATACTTCATAATGTTAAATGACTTAATAATCTTAAGTACTGTAATATCCAATTAAAGTGATATTAGTAAATAATAATATGATACGGATTTTTAAGATATTTAATTGATCTTATTTCACACCAATTAAATTTCTTACTCCATAACTTAGTAATAATATCAACTTATAAAATCCAGTATTTACGAGTAATCTTTTAGATCGGCTTAATTAGCTAATAATATGTCTTTTAATTATTCACAAATTCTTTTATAATTGAATTCAATAGCATGCAGAAACTTATTCAATTAAATTACTTCCTTAACGAACTTTTTTAACACTCAATAAGATTTGCTTCTATAAATGGTATAAATCATTATCTTCGCAAATAAGTTTCATTATTTAGTTATAATTATTGCGAATGTTATATAATATCAATTGTATTTTCACGAAATGTACTTCTCTTAAATAAATATTTTTATAACACAAATATTTATTGCCGGTAATAATGTTGATGGAACAAATTTTTAATATGTTTGAGATACTTTTATAATTCCTTTAATTTGGTAATAAAACAATATGACTAGGTTTATTTGCTTATGCGTATATTGAATAATTAAAATTGATAAAATTAAAAATACATATTATAATAATATAGTAATCATAAAATATTGACAAAAAATTGTTTTGACATTGTAGTTTTACAATAATTGCATAAATGCAGGACGTGTAACTGAGTTTGAATGATTCGATGATGAAATTATTATATGCATCTACGTTCTAAGATGGGTAATCAAATCTTAGTACCCGTATATTTTCCTGTACTCCAGACTGATTGTGTTCCAAATAGATTATTGAATTCAAAGTTTGAAGCATGCAACGATAGTTCAGATAATTTATACGGAACAAAATAATATATGCACGACTTAACGTGAAAGTGTCGTTCATATATAAATATTATAAAGCGTCATACGAGCAAATGATATTGAAAGGATACTAGAATAGTATTTTATTTTATATAACGAATGCAGCTTTTTGTTTAGTTTTCGTCACTTTCATTAACCACGTTTATACAAACTGGTTGTATAATAAATGTAACTCTATATTTTTTAATTAGAAAGCTATTCGGATATATTGTATAGCAACTTACAATTAATCTGGAATATTATTAATTATCTTAAATAACTTTTAAAATACTATCAGAAATTGTAGTACTTTTAAATAATATATCAAATATAATTATATATACGTGTTATATTTAAAACTTTAATTACGCAATATGTTTCCACATAAAAGTATTCTAAGATTAAATTATAAATCTCTTGAAAAATCAAAAATAATTAATAGATAAGAGTTAGTATGTGATTAAAACATTCATCTAACAACATAAGCAAATGTTGACGTTAGATGTTTATATGTTGTACTTACTATTCTTCAACTAAATATAATCTTTCAGTATCATTAGGTAAAATAATCTCAAACAAATGAAAGTTTTAAGATTTTTATCGTAATAATTATTCAAATTTTCAACTGTAACGTTACGTGAGAAAACTCTTTAGTCAATAATAGTAAGGAATTTACATTAAATCATTTTAAAAAATTTACTATCGAAATATTCTTTAGGTACTGGATTTAATAATAATATCAGAAAATAATATACAATATAATATTTATCCTTAATGCATCATTGATATCACTTATAAACTATTGGAAATATTATAAAAACAAAGTATATTAGATTATAATTTTGTAAACAATTTAATCTTAATAATTTTATATTCAAACAATTTTTATAGTTTTCGATCAATGAATTTTCAATTCATATTTTATGACCATGAATATGTCAGATAAAACTTAATTTTTTCAACAAACGTTTTGAAGCGGATCATTTTTTTTTTTTTTTTAAACTGAGCTCAAAAAGTATCGCGAAAAATATAAATTTTTTCTTTACTTATTTCAAATTAAATAATAAATTTCTAATGTGTATACATTATGTTTAAATAAATGTTTTTAATTATAAAAAAATTATACGTATTGTGCATTACAATCTATAATTAGCTATATCTACTTTTTCATAATCAAATATATTAAAATAAAATATTGAACATCATATTATTGAATTTTTATACATACAAATAATATAAGTTATAGATTTTATTAATTTATTATTATGTAAGCCAATATCGTTGGTTGTACGAGAAATTAAAAAAGTGTTAATGTATTTGTTATTCAAATGCATGGATAACGTTAGTGCACAATTGTTAATAACTTCTTTTTAATAAGATTTAATTTACAAAATTTTTCAAACAATTATTTAATATAGTATAAAAGTTAAATAAATTTGTAGTCAATTTCGAGAAAATTTCACTTAAAGGTAAAAATTCAAAAAAACGAAATGATTTTATTATCGCTTTAATATTTTATTTATCTAGCCAATATTAATCGATCATAATCGTATGAAATCGATGTTTAAATATACCACGCGTAAACAGCGCTTTCCACAAGTCTCATACATGCGCTAATAATATAAGAAATTGTTGCATATTCACTACTTTGCGACTGCGCTTCACGATTCACGTGCGCACACGACATGAATTATTCAATTATTCCTCCTGAGATTCGTGCCCGACGAAACGTGCGTTTTATTACATCATTCGAGATCGAACGCGGAAAACGCGGGCACGCAACCGTAACATTTTTGAGACTGATGGGGAGAGAAATAGCTGACGAAGTTCTCACTTGACAGTGGGATAAGTGGCTTCGACGCCTTCCTGTTCTCCGCTCCGATCATCCATTCGCACTCGGGTTTTCCGCGTTTCCCAGCTTCCCCGCGAGTTTCTAATATGTATGCATATAAATTCTACTCAGCTCATTTTGAGTAATATTTTTTTACTATATACACTTTATGGGTTAACACTGATACCATCATTGATATCATGCATCTGAGCATATTCACTGTACACGCTCATTCAATTACTGTTCAATTACTTCATAATGAATTGTTAAACG